AGAGACAGTGAACTACAGAAAGCTTTACGACTAGCAAGACCGAAAGTTTTAGATGAAGCGCTCGCCATTGCCTTGGAACATGAGATAGCTAGTCGAGTTTCACGGAGCTATCAAGTACGAACCTCTGAAGAGAGTGACGAACGAAACGATAAACGTCTGGAGGAAATCGTACGGAAAGTAGTTCGTAACATGATGCCGAAGAGACGTGAACCCAGATGTTGGAATGGTAACAACGAAGGTCACATTCGCCACAAAGTGCAAGAAAATAATACAACAGTCAGAAAGCTAGAACAGATCGAGCACGCTAGAAAAAGTCATTCAAATGCTGATGTTCAATCAAGACGGCCATACAGTGAAAATCGTAATCATTGTCTTAAATTAGAAGAACGACTTTGCCCCGTGAGGCGAACCACCGTTATTAATGATCAATGGCAGCCTCAACAGCTACAAGACGCTCAAGCAGATGATCCATGTATAAAAAGAGTATTGGATTGGGTGCGTCGAAGTGAAAGACCTTCTTGGCAAGACATTAGTGCATGTAGTCCCGAAGTCAAGTGTTACTGGAGCCAATGGAATTGCCTAGTGCTGAAAGATGATCTTCTGTATAGAACCTTTGAGAACGATGATGGTACAGAAACTAAGCTTCAGTTGATTGTACCTAAAAGTAAAGTGTCAGAAGTATTGCGTCAGTTGCATGACGGTGCATCAGGTGGACACTTTGGTATTACGAAGACTCTGCAAAAGGTTCGAGAACGGTTCTATTGGGTGAACTGTAAAGATGATGTAAGAAGATGGTGCCGGAAATGTGAACTGTGTGCAACTAGTAATGGTCCAGTTGGTAAAAAGAGGGCACCCATGAAACAGTACAATGTTGGTAGTCCTATGGAGAGAGTAGCAATCGACATTGCAGGTCCACTTCCAGAGACGAATGATGGAAATAAATATATCCTGGTAGCCATGGATTATTTTACGAAATGGACTGAGGCCTATGCGATACCAAATCAAGAAGCTGCTACCGTTGCAGAGGTACTTGTTAAAGAATTCTTTAGCCGATTTGGTGTTCCCTTGGAGATCCACTCCGACCAAGGGCGAAACTTCGAGTCAAACCTTTTCCAAAACGTTTGTAAATTGATTGGTGTCAATAAGACCAGAACGACACCCCTGCATCCTCAATCAGATGGAATGGTCGAGAGGATGAACCGAACGATGGGTAAACACCTGTCCAAAGTTGTATCAAAACATCAAAGAGATTGGGATCAGCACATTCATTTATTCTTAATGGCATACCGCTCGGCCGTGAATGAAACTACAGGCCAGACTCCAACCTGCCTGATGTTAGGTCGTGAAGTTCGTTTGCCCTGCGACCTAGAGTTTGGCTGCAGACCTTCCGAAGAACATGTTGCAAGCGAAGATTATGTCGACCGCCTGAAGTTAAGAATGAACAACATTCATGAACTTGCCCGACAACACATCCAGTTAGCCAGTGACAGAATGAAAGATCAATACGATTCTCGATGCAAGAATGAAAGCTATGAAGTAGGTGATCTTGTTTGGCTTTATAATCCACAACGTCGTCGTGGCTTGTCTCCTAAACTGCAAAGACAATGGGAGGGTCCGTATGAAATTAAAAAGAGAATAAATGACGTAATATACCGAATTAAGAAGTTGCCGAAAGGTAAACCAAAAGTAGTTCACATAAATCGTCTTGCACCTTATGCTGGCTCAAATGAAACCGAAGAAGTCCGAACCCTTCAACATGAGATCAAAGATGACGGCGACCAAGCTTTAATGAATTTATGTCAAATTACGCAGAGAGAAAGAGTGCTAGATTCGGCGTGACGACAGAAGTTCAGCAGGATCTTTTTAGTGTTCCGCATAACGTCTCTCTAGCCCACTGTGTTGCCCAAGATCTTGAGATGACTAAAGGAATCTCATCCGTATTTTATAAGAAATTTGGTCGCTTGGACGAGTTAAAAAACCAGCAGCCTAAAGTTGGAAGAGTGCTGAGATTAGAAGATGGTTCTCGATCTTTGCTGTATATGGTGACCAGGAAGTCGTATACAGACAGGGCAACCTACGAGGATATATGGTGTGCTCTGACTAATTTGAAGAAAATCGTCTGCAATTACGACATTAAGAATTTGGCCTTACCCAAGATAGGCCATGCACTAGATAATCTGGATTGGAAGATTGTCAGAAGCATGCTTGAAGTGATCTTCCGAGAAACCGGCGTAAGAATTACTGTGTGTTGTACTAATCCGAAGAGATCGTGTCCTTCAAAGACAGTAGACTGTTATTTCTTTCTCAGGGGTGCATGCACCCCTCAGAATACCTCAGTATTTTTGGCCACTCATTGTACTTGTTATTTCTTTAAAAGCCGTAAAATTTGGGAAAGTTGAGAACAAATAATCCAAACTTGTCAAAATCCAACATTTGTCTTGAGTCTCGTTAGGCATGTTAAATTATAAATCAAAACTTGTAAATATATCAAAAAAGTTCAAATGTGTACTTATATACACAACAAACAGCAATTAAATTTTGTATCTGTCAATGTCAGACAAATTGACAGTTGTATCACAAAACAATATTTTTATTTTATTAATATTATTATCATGGTAAATTAAACATATGCGTAAGAAGTTATGTATATTGTCATTTTTAAATACTTATGAATATTGCATTTTAATTTGTATTGTATTATTATATTGAATTATGTTGCAGTGTATTGTATTGTATTTTTATATTAATAACAAAATAAGCAATGAATTTTACTGCAGAGTATGTGTAAAAATTTTTTTTGCATTCAACTCCTTTCATACATATATGAAAATAAAAATATACATTTTCATCAAAATATTGATTCAATCCTTCATTTACTATACTCCTATTACAGGTCAAATGTTGTTTATATACAGCAAACGATGCACCATATACCTATATACCTAATTCTGTTTCTCTTTCTGCTCTCTCTTACCTATAGCATTACATATGTAATGATTGTGCAGATTGACTCCCATATAAATTTGTAACAGCGAACGCGTGTATAGAAGTATAACTTCTACCGGCAGTCCCACTGGACTACCACACCCGTTTTTTTTTTATTTTCAACGTCAACCGATAACACGACTGTCCACTGTCCCGAAAGAGTCGCATGTTATTTTTAGTTTTGTAGTAGTCTCTCAGATTAACTAATCGTCCTCGTCGACGTAAAGTGTTCGTTGCTCCTCTGTTTACGTTTACACAAAACTTGTTTTTTTTTAATCAACCATCAACTAGTTGGCTTACCAGTGAGAAACGAATTCGTAAATGACGAATTATAATTTAAAATCAGGGATTTTCTAATAAAAATGAGGGTAAAAAAACAAAAGAAAGAGTTAAGAAGCTGGTTACTTCTACAAAAAAAGAAAAAGAAGATTGTACTATTGAAAATCAACCAGTACAAAAAAAGAAACTGATAAAGATGACTTAAGTCCATGGTGTATTTTTGATGAATTAATTGGACATGCCTCCTCTAAACACCTGTATCGAGAGGTATAAAAGAAGTCGACATGTATTTGTCTGATGATATATAACCCACAAAAAATTTCGAACGGAGATTATAACTGTCCATTACAGTGGTGGAAAAACCATCGCCATGTACATTCTAACTTAACCACTATATTCATAAAATATTGTAGTATTGTAACAAAATGTGTTCCTTGTGAACACATGTTCAAAATCTGGTTTAATTTTAAATAAAAGAAGAACACGGTTAACAAGAAAAGTGGAAAAACTTATGTTTTTAAATGTCAATTTAGACGATTCGTGATTTAATAATGTGTAATGTAAATGTAAGTACTATTTATTATTTGTATTGCTTAATTTATTTTTCAAGTTATAATAAATATATCCTTCGTTAGTTTCTTTCACTTCAATACTTATACACATAAACGATAATAGCCAATATGTTTGTTTGTGTACTCGCTTATTTGAAACAATCAACTAGTTACTAGTTGACGAAAAACGGTTCCCATAAAAATCTCAACGACCCACCTCTAGTTACTTAGCTATAAGGTGGATCGGAACCAGAGATATGTAAAATATCTCTGATCGGAAATTATCGTCTCACTAATGGGCAATAGGCGTCTCTTAGAAATATGGAGGGGAGACCAAGGGGAAATATGATTGTTATCTTTGTCTATTCGCTGAAAATATGATTTTATATATGTGTTAGATATCCTGTTAAATTTTACCATACCGACCATAAACTTTTACCTACACTGTATAGTTATTAGGCTGTGGCATGCTAAATTTTTCTATTACTGACCTGTATTTTCAATGCTTTATATCTTAGAGAGAATATTAATTTTTATCGCTTCAAATACGTATGAGTGTTTAAAAGACAATTGTTCTTAAAAGAGTTTTTTTGTAAAAAAATATGTTTAGGGCCCTATTGTTCCATAACCGAATACGTTTTCTTTTAAACCACTTTATTCAAGTATTAATTATATCTATATATATTCAAGTATTATTATACATATATATATATATATATATATATATATATATATATATATATATATATATATATTTATATATATATATATATATATATATATATATATATATTTATATATATATATATATATATATATATATATATATATATATTAATTATATTATATCAATTTAAAGAGGGATTTTATACATTGGTATATAAGAGGGATTGGTTTTTAGCTAAAAGTGTTCTAAAGCGTATTATTTTCTCATGGAAACAAATATTTCGAATTAAAGTATACATCCCCGTCCCAAAAATAATTAGCTTAGGCATAATTTATAAACACCCAAAATCCCATTTTATTTGTCAGTTGCCAGTTATTATTTGAATGTCCATATGCATTCAGACGTACATATTAGGATATACTATAAATTTTAATGAATGCAGTTCGTTTTATTTGTAAATGTTGTAATTATATTGCTCGTAACTAAAATTATACTGTTCGCCTAAAATTAATACTTACTAAAGAGTTTCCAAACTCGTACGACTTCTAGATGAAAGTAGTCTAATAATCCATACCAATGAAATAAATGAACACATAAAACTGGCAGCGATTTTCCACCGGCAACTGTTTCCAATGTAAAGGCATTAAATGCCCACTTAGTACAACGGTCGAGAATTTTCTGCAATAAAATACATTATTAATACACTTTTATCACTTTTGGATATAATAGTGTTCATACAATTGTTATTTATGTATAAAGGTCATAAAGTTGGCGTTTATGGGCTGCGGCAAGAAATTAGAGCATGAGATGCGGAGTGATGCACGCTCATAAAAGGTCAGGAGGGTCAGAAACGCATAGTAAGCCCAACATATTTACAACATTTTACGCATTTTACGTTACAAGAAATAAGTTTTAGTTTTTGTTATAATAATAGTATACTGTTTTTTTTAAGAGTAAAAATGATACTTTTTGTGACGAAGTTGCACGTTTGACATTAAGCTGAGGCACAAAAAGTCATTTTTACTCAGAAGATAAGTACAATTTTTAGTTCAAACGCCGCGTCGCAAAATTTTTATGTTAGTATGTTTAGTATTGGTCTATTAATTGTCACTTTGACAAATACGAAAAATCACCGATTTTTGCGGAACTAGTTAAGTTTTGTGAACGCTTGTGCGTATTATCGCCCAAAAGTATGAGTAATAGTCTGATTATTCTGAAAATTCCACGGCATCGCGTAGTCGTCCAGATATTTTGTGTACTGCAAAGACTGTAACTGAAGGATTGTTTCCTACAAGTCCACTGCGGTTTACGAAGCTTTGTATCGTCATTTTATGCAATGGTGTGATGCAAAGAATATAAAATGTTATCCCGAAGAAGTGTTATTAGTGTATTTTTCGGAGATTGGAACAAATATGAAAAGTTCTACCATGTAGTCGCATTATACAATGATACGAGCCTTAATGAATATCAGGCAGAATGTTGATATTAGCAGGTATCTTAAACTACGTGCTTTTTTGAAGTGAAGCATTTTACGTGAGATAAAGTTACATAATTCTTAGGTAAAAATTTATTAATATAGTATCACGAATGCTTAGAAGTTAAAGACAAAAAAGTTTATAACCGGTGACCTACCAAAACGGACGCCTATGACCCGTACTAGAAATTTGCATTTAATGAAATCGATTCAACTATGGATGATAAATAATCATACCAGTTTTCGTTTTTCTTAATGGAAGCGCTCTGAAGGTATTTAAAAAGAACTAATTATAAGACGCCATCTTCTAAGAGCTCTATCTCCCTAGGAAGCATTTTCAAACATGGTGAATTGGGTTAAAATTGTCTTACAATTATCTAAGAAATCTTCGGTCTTCATTTATCAGGGGAGTTTCTGGATACCCTGTATAGAAAATATGCCGTTGGTTACAATGAAAACCGATTTTTTTTAAAGTACCAGAATGGGATATGCTATCAAATGGTATTTGGTTTGCACAAGATCGGCAGCTCTTCCAAGGGAGTTACATTGGTTGGATAATTAACTTATTTAAAGAATAGAAGGATGAAGGACCACCAGCCTGGGGCTGGAATGAAAAACAGAATTAAACACTAACTTATATTTAATACTAAGATTAAATAGCAATTTCTGAAATCTGTCCGAAAACACTGTGATATGGGGTATTTCAACTACACTTTTCACTGGCGCTATTTTCACTATTATATATAACTAATTACAAGTAGAATTGCTTAGCGGAATGTCTTTTCTATGTTTAAAGCGAACTACTGGCAACACTGCTGGTTTGAATAGATGAACTTTTATATGAAAACTATACTGCGGTTTTAGGAAACACTGATTACTATAAATGATTGACTTATAATCTTTATGAATAATATTGCGATGCGAACTATTTAGTTACAAATACATATAATATATTAATAAGCGAATTTGCGAGCTAGCGATGTCAGCTTACGAGATTTTGCGACCGACTGTGGTAATAGCTTTTTCTGAACTGACTGATAATATCTAAATTATGTAGGCAGGTAGCGCAGGGCTCCTACCCCTAAAAGTACCGTTAGATACCTTCCTTTATTTCTTCGAAGAAGGCTTAGTAATATCGACATGGGAAAAATTAATCTCAAGTGAAATGGAATTTCATCATACATCTTTTAGCCACATTAGCCACATTCTTCTTTTTCTTTAAGTGCCGTCTCCCAATCGGAGGTTGGATATCATCATCACTATCTTTACTTTATCTACTGCTGCTCTGAAGAGTTCTATAGAACTGCATTTAAACCAGTCCCTTAAATTCTTCAACCATGACACTCTCCTTCTTCCTATACTCCTTCCTCCTCTTATCTTTCCCTGTATTATCAGCCTTAGCAGTTCATATCGCTGTTCCCTCATTACGTGTCCCAGATATTGTAACTTTTTATTTTTATTGTGTTTATTATTTCGCATTCTTTGCCCATTTCTCGCAATACTTCCGTGTTAGTTTTCTTCTGTGTCCATGCTATTCTAAGCATCCTCCTGTAACACCACATTTCAAAGGACTGTAACTTATTTATGTGTTCTTGCTTCAATGTCCAGCTTTCAAGTCCATATTGCAGTATCGAAAACACGTAGCATCTCAGTGCTCTTACTCTCAGTTCTAATCTAAGATCTTTGTTGCAGAGAATTGTTTTCATTTTTACAAACGCATTTCTTGCTATTTCTATCCTAGCTCTTATTTCGGTTGTTTGATCATTATTGTCTGAAATCCAGGTTCCTAGGTATTTGTATTTATCAACCCTTTCTATCGGTACATTTCCCAAATGTATGTTTGTTGGTATATTTGTTTTCTTTGTTATTATCATGTATTTGGTCTTTTGTATATTCATTTTTAGTCCATATTTTTCACAGAAACTGTTTGTTTTGTTTAGCAGTAATTGGAGTTGTTCAGCAGAGCTTGCCATAATCACGGTGTCATCTACTTATCTTGTCGCATATCTGCATATCGTGTTAATCCGTCAATAATTAGCCACATTACTGGTAGGCAAAGGAGCTGATCACCTGTCTTGAAACACATGGCCGTTGGAAATCGAGCAGTGTAGCTGAAGGATATATTGAAGCTCCTGAACCAAAGTTTTATTTTTTTAAATAGAACATCCTCTATATTAAAGCATTTTTGAATGTATTTTTTTAAAATATGAAGAGTTTGTATGAGATTTTATAAGTCTGAAGATATTAATTTTTGAAATACATATTTACACTTTTCTTGAGAAAAATGGTAATATCTAAAGGGCTGTGGACATCGAGCAAAAAGACAAAAGAGGGAATGTAAAGGTAGTGGGGCAAAAATATTGTCAGACAGGAAGTGCTATCTTGAGAGGCCACATTAAACAAGAGAAGAGACTCTCTTTCCTTGTTTAAGAAATCAAATTTAGTTGGGTTATGTTATTGTTGATGTTATTGTTTGTCCCAACTGTCACATGAAAGATTATTTGTATTTTCTATTGAAGTTTTTTAACAATTGTTTCACATTTTAGACTATTATCGTTATTATTTAATTAAAACTTTATTGTGTTCTAGTGTTAAAAAAAGTATTTTAAGTGTATTATGTATTAATATTATGTTATATTATAATATAAAATAAATAAATAGATAAATTAGAACCCCTACACCACTGTATGATTATTGTTAAGTTTTATGAAATTTAAATTTGGCGCATTCGCATTTCCGGATATGTCCGCCATCAGAGGCCACTTTTTTGGTCTTTTCATAACGATTAGATTCCCTCTTTTGTCTCTTTGCTCGATGGCTGTGGATTAGGTTTCAAGGGTAATACAAATATAAATAATATATCAAAAATTTCCTAGTATAGTGTTATTTTTAAATATTTTATTATCTTTGAAATCGAGTGATACAATATACAGTGTGATCATTATTTTCAAATTCAACAATTGTATCTTTTTTTAATAGAACACACTGTGTATTAATATTGTATTTTGTAGAAAACATCACAACCTTTCTTTTGGTAGGAGGTTTTAAATCGCTAACATGTTTAGTTTTTTAGATATTTAGAGAACAACGATAGACTTTTATAGATAGGTTTTCTATTAATAAATGTGTACCATATGACACAAAACAAACCTATTGAAATAACAAACAAAAATTATAAAAATACAATCTACTTCTATAAATACAAAACGAAATAGTCTCATAAGATTAAAAAAAACGTATGCTAGTAAAAATTAGTGGAATTCATCTCTCACAAAGCTTATCTCGTTACAAAATAATATTAATATACTAATGTAATCAATAGCCATAAATTAATTATTAAATCAATGAACAACTAATTTTAAAAGCTCACTCAGTAATTTTGAGCAAATAAATAAATTTATGATCATTTTGCTTGACTAAATTACTTATCCTAAGTTATGTAAATATGTATCTGTCAAAATATTAAATTAAAATAAATAGTGTCATAAAAGCTGGTAAAAATTGTAGTTAAAGCATATTTCTGTACCGGTTTAAAATAAAACGAGTACTATATTCCCGAACATTCGGAGGTAACCCACCTCTATTTCGCCTACGTGACGGGTGTACTCTCTCGCACTCGATATCGCCGGAAACTTCTAGTCTGTTTAAAGATGCAACCGTTACACGGGCCACGCTGAATGCATGTTCGTAATATTTCTAACAAATTTTATATTTTAAATATGAATTTTTCAACTGTTTACTAGCTTTCTAGAGACACATCCTACAAAAAAAGCCTTGTTACAAATTTTAAATGGCTTCGTTCCTTCAGGAAATGTGCACTATTTAAAACCATTAATACCAAAAACGTTTTTAGGGATAGGAATTAACAGATGAGTTACTTAGTTACTTAGTCCTAAGCCTTTCTACCGTTAGGTGTAAGGCTGGTGGAGTTAAATTTTGCACTGTTGTCTCCATGCTTTCGGATCTTGTGTTAGTTGTCGTGCATTTTCCCATGTCAATCCTTTCTTCCCAACTTCTTTTTTGATTTCGTCTATCCACCTAACTTTTGGTCTTCCTCGTTTATTTTTTCTTGCACTCTAGTTTCAAACACTCGTTTTGTTAATCTTTCATTCGACATTCTACACACGTGCCCGAACCATCTTAGTTGCCCCTCTACTATTTTGTCGTTTATTGGTTCTAGTTTTAGGTTTTCTCTGACTGTTTCATTTCTTATTTTGTCTGTCTTCTTTCTGTTTGCTATTTTTCTCAGGAACCTCATTTCCATCACAGACGAGTTGTATATATATATATATATATATATATATATATATATATATATATATATATATATTTATTTATTTAGGCGGCACACGCCCTTCCGGTAGGGATCTATGAAGGAGTATCACCGAGACGCAATCATATTCTAGTCTAAGCCGCAGATTCATTTAGAATTTTAAACTGCTGCGTTAGCCTTTTTTTTTTCTGTACACCGAGCCGGGGATTGAACTCACATCATTCGCAGTGAAGCGAATGAGAAGCCGGCCGCCCAGCCCGCTTGGCTATCTGACCGACAGATATAATTATCATTATTACTTTGAGGAAAATCTTATTTCGAGTTACGTCCCAGAACAGGTGATCATTAAATATTTGTAGAGGCATTGTTATTTTTCCAAAAGATTACTGGCAATGAGTATCATAGGTGTTTAACAGACCAGTTGCCTGGCTTGTTAGAGCAGGTTTACTTCGGAATTATACGAAACATTTAATTTCAACATGACTGATCATGATCGCATTATACAATAAATGTTAGGCGTATGCTAAATAATAACTATAGCGATAGTTAAATCAGATAAAGTTGTACAGAGTATTTGTTTTTTTTTTGTACATCAAGAATATAATATGTGACGACGATCCCGTAACACAGGATAAAATAGAGCAAACTCTACAGCACCAAAACTGAAAGACATAGGCAAACGCATAGCCAACCTTTCAAAACCTGTCAAAAGCTGTCACTACTACTGCGAAGTAGTAGACAAGTGTAGTAGTGTCTGGAGGCTCGGGAGACTGAGACCTCGGAAGCCCTGAGGAAGACATCAGAGAGGATGTCGAAAGCTCGGCCCAATGGATATCGCCGCGGTTCAACCCGGAAGACTGGTGAATTTGATATTAATTTTTCTGTCTTTTCTGTCTTTGACAGTGTTGGACCTGAAATGCTGTAGGGCGTTTGGTACTCCTTTATCAATCGTATACGACTGTGTATTTAACATATTCGGCAACGTTTTTCATTTGTTGACAGAGCTAATAATGCATTTCTACCTATCGATTAGGTACATGATGTTACATGATGAGTTATTAAAATGAAATAATTTTTAATTGCATAATTTTTTTTAATTTTTGATATTTTGATTTATATTTATAAAATTAGATTATAATTTTCGTAATTTTTGTTTGTAATATTTCAGTAGTAACACATTTATTAATAGAAAACCTGCAAAACCGTAAAGTCTATAGTTGTTCTCTAAATATCTACAAAACAAACAGTAATGTTTTCTACAAAATACAATACTAATATACAGGGTGTCCAGTTAAAAAAATGAGACAATTTTATATTTGAAACAGTGATCACCGTATATATTGTTTGGCTCGATTTACAAGATATTACATTATTTAAAAATAACACTACACTAGAAAATCATTGACGTATTATTTACATTGTCATTACCTTAGAAGTCTAATCCACAGCTCTGTAAATATTACCATCGTACTCACTAAAAGTGTAAATATTTTAAAAATTAATAACTTAACACCTATAAAACCTTACACAAACTCTTTGTTTAAAATATATTATATCAAAAATGCCTTAATATACAGGGCATTCCACTTAAAAAATACAACTTTGGTTCATTCCGTTGTTTTGATTGACCCTGTATAATCTAAAATAATTTAAAATTATAGATGTCTTTGTTATACATCGGTTGTTTGAAACATTTTTTTATATACTACATAGTTTAGCCATAATCAAAGAAAGCCAGAGGTTGGACACGCTCTGTATATTAATAATTATTGATATTGTTAAAAGTAATCTGATCTAGCATTCAGCCACGTATATTTATATGTTCAACAGCATTCCCCGCTTCTTTCTCTAGAGACCAAAGAAATATTAACTCACATAACAAACATAAAATATTGTTTGATAGGAAATCTGTAGAGAATTTAGTGCATTAGAAAATAATTTTTTTAATTTAAAGGAACGGGAACAAAATATTTACAAGAAATCGGTTTTAGTTATGTCTGACCTTGAATACATCAAATTGTCTTATAAAATATTTGGTGATTTTTGGACTTACTATTATCCTAAGTTAAAGATTTACATAATAATTGTGTATTCTATTTGTAGAATGCGGAAATATACAAAGACAAGATACTATTAATAACAATCATTATAAAATCTACCATCGTACACAAATTATTTTATTTGATCATGATAACATTTTAAAATCGAGATTGTCTAGTTTATTTTTAATGGTTCAAATTCCAAAGATACAATAATGTGAAGAGCATATTGAAGGTGAAGGCCTTTATCACGTGAAAATCTACTGCACATTTTTACAGTATTCGAATTAAGCGTCTAAAAAGCAGTTTGTTTCTACTATATTCATTCTCCATTCGGATAAAACAACAAGGAGCCGGAGTATTTCCTACAAAGATTATTGTAATTGTAAATATATTTGATGCATCTACGTATAATGAACACTGTTCAAATTCTATTTAAACACAATTTAAATACGTTATTAAACATATCCTCCAAAAACCTCCAAATCCTAGCCCTCGCCGGCACCCTATCCAAAAAAACCAATCATTCGTAGGATATTCCACAATCGATTGTTCCCACTGTGAAATATCTCATGGTAACCTCATCACAATCAAATATGATCCATTTACACTCACAAAATCCCTCCCCATATCACCTTTACCAATAGAGACTTCCTGGAAATTGATATTCACCTAGACTGCGGTATGAAACTGACTATAATATCTCATGGTACCTCATCACAATTAAACATGATCAATTTATACTCACAAAATTCTTTCCCACATCAAGTTTAGCGATGAAGACTTCCTGGAATTTGACATTCACCTAGACTGCAGCCTGAAACTGACTATAATATCTGAGCATAAACATCTCCTATAACCCTTATCACAAACCCTGCTTGACTGTAGCCTCCAGCAGTAATAAAATCAACTTGCTCGAAAACTTTATCGCTAGGCGCACCTAATTTGGAACAAAATAGAAAGGCACCGGCCTCAGGACCTATTCCTTGGCCTACCACTCCACAAATTCAAAACTTCCTGAATCAACTTCGCATATCCATTACTGACCAAAGCATTTACAGAGTCAGTATGGTAGCTAGACTCGGTCATTGGCCATTTAATTACATTGGACCGCACACTCATCCTTGCCAAACAAACCATCCTTTTCCAAGACCAAACACTAACATCTAAAAGAAATTATAAAACACAGATACTGAAATCTTTACAAATACTTTCTCAATCAAAAAACCAAAAGCAATCAAAGCACCTCAGCTGAAACATTATTACCCAAATTGATATCGACAGAGGTATCAGAGGTATCATAGAAATGCAAGAACATGTATGATATCATAACATATATATCCGAACATATATATATATATATATATATATATATATATATATATATATATATATATATATATATACATATATATATTCGGATAGATTTCCGCGGTCAGATGAATGAAAATCACTAGGTTCTCGGGAAGAACCGCGTTGAGAATTTAATGCTCGACGTTTCGGCTCCCATTTTGGAGCCATTATCAAGAGGGATACGGTTCGGTTCGAGTTCGGGGTCTCAATCTGCCTACTCCCCTCACTCGAGACGTACCAGTATCGTGTTCTGTATAATATATACAAGAACTGTCTTTCGGCACTGAGGTCACAATCTGCCTACTCCTCAGCACTCGACACTGGGCATTAAAATAAACTCAAACAAAATCAAATTTTTAGTGTTTAGTCGTGACCCACATCCCGATGCAAAGCTTCAATTAAGCGGAGTACAAGTTGAGAAAGTTCACAAAATGACATATTTGGGAACTGTGATAACGGACCAACTAGATCCAGACATAGAAATAAAACGTACAATTGCAATGACTACAACTACTTTTATGAAAATGAAGTCATTTCTTTGCAATAATCATCTTTGGTTCGTACTTTTGTATAGTGCAGAAGTGTGGACGCTAAAAGTATCGATCATGAACAAAGTCATCTTTTCATTGATTTTCTTTACCATTTTCGACTATATTGCAGTTACATTGAAATATCTTCCTTGATTGAATGTTGATTCTGATATAAAACAGACAGTTAAAGATATGTTCTAATGATTTAATTGTGAATATGAAATTCTAAGCAAATAAATGAGCAGAGCTAAATAAAATAACCTACATATATTATATTAGAATATAAAGAAATATTACCTGGACCTGTCCGTGATGAATATCATCAAGTATTGCATGATCTTGTGATAAAGATCTGGTAGTAAGCTTTTTACGTCGTCGTTTGTGCATCGTTAGAAATTTACCGTGACAAACAGGGACCGGCACTGTTGTCATGGCATCCAGAAGAGCCCAGTCTTCTTTGGAAAAAACGTGCTGCATTGTGGGAGTTTCCGATAAAGCTGCAAAAAAAAAACAATATTACAAAATATTCGGTTTTGAAGTAATTGTATTTAACAAGAAATAATTTAAGATTAAGATATTGACGAAACAAAATGACGGCAAAAGATCAGAAATGGTTTAAAATTCGATAAAAGAATAATAGTATGGCCCAGAAATTACTAGTTTTACAAATTAAAAAAAACTTAAAGATAAGATCATATGAACACGTATTGCTACACATTTATTTTATTAAATATATACAGGGTGGTCCTTAAGTAATTTTACAAAAAGAAACAGTTAATTTTACGCTTTAAAATATTAAGATTTAAGCCAACTTGCTTTAATAAAATGTTTATATTAGGAAAGATACAGGGTGTTAAAGTAGAAATTTAAAATTTTATTTTTTGCTATAACTTTTACGTTTTTTAACATTTATGTATAAAAATTTACAACTGGGTGCTCTTGAGTATGAAAAATTATAATTCGTTGCACACTTTGATGTAATTGATAAAGAGCTCCACAAATGCCACATATGTGGCATACATTTGCGCTTAACTTTTCTGTCTTTCCAGTTTTTTTTTTCGCAATTTTTGTCAAAAAAATTTAAGACAAATTATTTTAATAAAAAAAATTATACTTGTTAATAACCTTATATCTCAACAGTTTTCGGGATAATCGCATTTTATAAATCAGCTGCATAATGATTCTTAGTTGTGATATTTGTGCGGTTAAGGACTAATTACCTGTGGATAAGCATAATTATTAGTTTAATTTTATAAATACAACTCAAAGATAGTAACGTAACATCACAAAATGCTTTATTATGCATTTTTCTTTAGGTACCGTATCCGTATTCAGACGTTGGCCGTCATCATGTTGACATTAAAATCCTGAAACTTTTCTCTATCGCTTCTATAAGTTTCTATACTTGCTTTGTATTACTTTTTCCCTACAGTAAAATGATGAGGCGAGCGTCACTAAAGAAGCGTCACGAGACGGCGTCACGCGTAGCGTCACGAAAAAACAGTTTTCACATCGATTTACTACTCTCCATCAATTCGCTTATAGTCATCATATACTTTTTAACGTTAGTTATTAATGAATTCCTTTCAAACTATATTCAAATTTTATTTTTTCCCTCAACGCATTACGGAAAATTTTAACATATTAGGCTAATGTCACGAATGCTTTTGATAACTAAAACTAAGTATTGTTTCGATAAATCAGTGATTTTTGTAATATTTACATAGTTTATTTTGGTTTATTAAAGAAAAAGCAGAAAATGCCGAGGTATAATAATGTTTCATGCAGCGAAAAGGGAGTATTTAAAAATATACCCAAACAGTCTGCAACCTAATCACCAACGTTTAAATATCCATTTTGAAATTTAGGCGAAAGTGGTTCAGTTTGTCCTAAACGTGACAAATTAGGCCGACGTGAAAATCATTACGCCTGTTCAAGAAGATGGTTCGCGTTGACCACGATTCTCAAGTAAATACACGACGTTTATCTTGAGCGTTAGGAATTAGCAAAACTTCACATTTAAAAATCATACACCGCGAGTATTTTCACCATTTACCAGCAGATTTACCTTTATTCTACAAATTTGTAAATGATCTCCGAAACAGTCAAAATCTTAACCACTCTTTTGTCGATAGAAAGCATGTTAAAAATGGTAGAATAATTGGTAACCATCTTTTAGGACCATGCGAGTTACTTCGTTATTTGACTGGTGAGAACTATTTACATTTTTTACAGAATGATTTTATTGATTTGACGTTAAATTTAATGCAAATTATGTGGTTTATGCAAGATGGTACATCACCACATTATACAAGTGCAGTGCATTGGTAGCGGTAGTCATTTTCCTTGGCCAGTAGGTAGCTCAGAATTTAATCCGCACAATTTTTGTGTATGAGGCGCATTTAAACGTGTCTACAAGAGAAATAAATACTGCAGAAGTTTCTTTTGAACAAATGGTTCTATTTAAAATAAGACGATCTTTTATGGAAGGTATTGATAAATGCATTGAAGATAATGGTGGATATATCAAACAATAACTTTGACAAAAAGTTTAAGGTAATATAAAATATCCTAAGTATCACACATTCTTCTGTGTGTCATGCTTTATTCTCTTCCAAATCTGATGTTCTTGTAGTATTTATTTAGAGTTAATCGGCTAAAACATAAAACTCCTGTTAATTTTAGTTCTAATTATGTAAGAAATAAGGGAAGAGACACAAACAACATGAACTTGTACACAGTGATAAAAGTTCGCACAAAAAATTGGTTTGGTGATGAAAAAAACTTAATGATACGAAATTTTGCTACGACCTTGGGTCACATAGAATAATTATATGATTGCCAGAATCGAAAATTAAACTAAAATTGCCAGAAAATAGATTATTCTAAATATTTTTGTAGAATATAGACTATTTCGATACATTTTTGGCAAAGTAACGTAAGTCACCAAACACGATTTGTAGAAAAAACAATTTTGTAATTAAACCTGGTTAAAATTATTTAAATTATGATTGAAAAAAATTGTCCTACTTGTTCTAAAAAAGGTTTAAAGTAATTCTATGCTTACTACACGTTGGAAGTACCTTTTTAACAATAATAGTGTTAGTTTAATTGAAAAACATGATTTTCGCCAAAAATGTCACTTACGTTACTTTGCCAAAAATGTGTCGATTTATTAATGAAAAAGGAAAGAAATGTCACAATAAATTATTATAAAGATGTCAATGGATATTCTAAAATGGATGTATATACATATTTTAGAAGTTACACACCGGGCCCAATTAAGATGGAATCAAAAATTAACAAAACCATAATTCCACACAAAAACCAAAAATACTGTATTCCATGAACTAAAATTTTTTATTCTTGAAGCAAACTAAAATAAATTCTAAATATTTCAACTCAATTAGGTACCCACCGCGCTGGTGCTACCACGTGGAAGATTTGACCAAAAGTGAATACGTTTTCGTCTCGTGGACAGAATCTTATCGGTTGGGGTCGATAACAACTTCATCATCATCATTATTTTTGCTTTACAACCCCGCGTGGGTTCCAGCCTCCTTAATAATTTCTCAAGGAATCTTGTTCTGGGTCTTTCTCTTCTTCTCTGACCAATGCCCTATACACCTTAGACGTCTTACCTTAACATGTTTTACGACATCAGATTCTTGGTATCTTCTATAAAGTTCGAAGTTGTATCGTCATCTTCGCACTTTATTTTCATTCACTGTTCCATAAATTAGCCTTAGTACTTATCTTTCGAAACATCCTATTAGGTTTTCATTATTTTAATACCAGATCTCTAAACCATATGTTAGGACTAGGCGTATTATTGTTTTGTAGAGTTCTATTTTTGTATTTCTCGATATAATTGTGTATGTAAGGAGAAGATTGAGCCCAAAATATAATATGTTTTCCGTGTAAAAGTCTGCGTCTTATTTCTGCGGCAGTATTATTTTTAATGTTATGGAGCGCTCCCAGGTATCCAAATTCGTTCATTGGTTCGATGACGTCGTTTTCTATAACAAGTGGTCGTAGTATTTGTGGTTGTGTGCTAATTTTCATATACTTCGTTTTTTGGTGTTTATTATTAACCCAGATATGCCTAAAACCTACATGAAAATATTTTTTTATATTTTTCTCTAAATTTACGTGTTATATCAATTAACAAAAACATATTTATCGTAAAAACAAAATATTTATGAAAAACAAGTAAAAAAAAATTCTGTACAAAATATGGTACACCAGGCATATAAACTACTATTAAGTTTCAGTGTGGTATGAAACAAAACATGTAACATGTAAGCCTGCGTTGCATTTTGAAGACCTCATTTTTGTCCTATCGTGACACAAACCATATCGAGTTGATTTTTCCTGTGAAATTACTAAATGGTCTACTCGATGATAGCGAATATCAATGTTTTCATTGGCTGATTGACGACCGCGAGAATAGGAAGGTTTTTTATTTTGTTGTAACAATGATGTTGCAATGTGTCTTCTGAATGATAACTGGTCCAGTTTTCCTCCATGCAAACGATGAAGTTGCCAGGCATTCTGAACAGCCATGTCAATGCATTGATTGATTAATGAAAGATACCATTTTTTGTCGCTCATTCTGTGTTCTCATTTTGTGTACTCATTTTTGTAGCTGATTCTTTTAGTGCTACATACGCCTCTCGTACTATAATTGATATTATCATCATAGGCCAGTATTTGCACTGATTTATTATATATTGAACCAGTGTTGTGATTTGTGATATATTGTATCACTTTTTCCAAAGCCAGATTGAACAGTATACACAAGAGAGGGTCTCTCTGGCACAGCCCTTTATTTGTTTTAAAAGGTTCAGACACTTCACTCCGAAATCGTACTCTACATTCAACTTTTCCAAAAGTTAAAAAGTTTCGTTAAATTTACCCACTGATTTGGTATTTCTAGCTCTTTCATTCCTTTGAGCATTTCTCTTTTTCACAGCAGCAGAGTCGGAGCCTGCTTTGTAGTCTATGAATATATGATGAGTATCAATGCCATGATCCAGTGTTTTTCCAAAATTTGTTTCAGGGTTGCAATCTGATGAATTGTCGATTTATTCCATCTGAAACCACCATGGTAATTTCCTACTATCCGTTCTGCATATGGTTCCATACGGTGACATATTATTGTGACAAATATGTACGCTGTATTTCGAAGTGTAATTCCTCTGTGGTTAGAGCATTCAAAGATATCTCCTTTTTTGTGTATGGTGTAAAGTATTCCAATATTCCAATCATTGGAGACGGATTTCTGTGTCCATATTTCTTTTATAAGCTGCAGTAATGCCATTATGATAACATGGCCACCTTATTTATATAGTTCAGGTGGGATATTATCTATTCCGGGTGATTTGTTTCTGGCTAGTTTTATAACTGCATCTTTAACTTCAAGAATTGTTTGAGGTTCCTCTTCCCTCCCGTTTGTTCCCCTTACCTCATCTCTTTCGTCTTCCAGGCTTTGTTC